ACAAATAATATCAATATTTAACTTTGCGTCATCGTACTAGAGATTTATGAATGAGGAATTATTCGAAGTGAGCTAATCATTAAAATATTTAATACCTACAACATGTTTACCTATAAAACAAATGATAATATCCTATTTAAATTGTTTTATACATGAAGCCGATGAGTATTCGTACAATCATACTAACATGGTMAATTGGTTATTACTTATTTATAGTTATAATGTCTAGCTTATCAACTAAACAATATAAGAATYATTTGAAGRAAAAAAAACGATGACGAAAAAACTTATAGAAATGAATGGTGAATAATTAATCATAATGAGTATCATATTATTATCATACATAATATTGGATTTAAGATAATTAGAATACTTCAAACCGTAATATTTTGTTCGTTAATAACTACACGAACATATTTTGAGTCATGATTTGTGCATTTCCTCAAACACACATCGTGTACTTACTGCTATAAACTCATTTAAAAAGAAATACACTTTTAATTTGTGTATTTTATCTATAGAGTAATGAATTAATAATAATTAAACGTGTTAATTTATTATGCAAAATGTACCTAGTAAAATTAGCTATTGTAATTAAGTATGGAATTTTCTCAATTAAAAGAACATTTTTCTATAATAGRTTATAAATAATAATATTATTGATATTAAGTAGGTATATGATCTTATTAAATAGAAAATAATAATGAAGTAGAATGTGAAATCCTTTGATTAATATTCATTGAAATTAAATTAATTCTCAGACGATCATTCTGTATTGTCACCTCCCTTTAATAACATCGTACCAAATGACTATTGTCAATATTGACAATTTTTATGCGCGATYGACACTTTAGATTATCAATCTRTTTGCAATAAATGATATTATTTATACGATTTTAAATAATTTTGGCACTCATAAAATGCGTATAAAATAATTATGTATAATACATAATATTTTATAATTTTTGTTAAAATTAATGATTACCTATGTGATGAATATAAAACATATAGTTTAGGTTTTCAATTAAGGCTAAAATGTACACTTCCCTGAAGTGAATTAGTGGCTTATTATTATAGAAAACGTACAAAWGAAATCTGAATTTATCAATAAACATGAACAATGTAATGTACTTCAAATTTTAAAACACATGYATAACAAACAAACATACGTTATAAGTATTTTATATTCCATTTATCAATTTTGGTACATTCAGTAAGAAATAAATAATAATTAATTTTATCAAAGCTAAAATACATATGTAATTGATAGTAACTAATAAGTCTATATTTGTAACTAAAAGTTATAAACCAAGTTTCTGTTTATTCATCAGTCTTATAAGTATATTATGATTTAGGTATTTAGGTATTTATTGTTTTTTTTTTTTTTTTATAACAACAATAATTTATATTTTATTTTAAATATAAAAAGTATAAACAAATTTATAATGAATAATAAATAATAGATATTTAATGAATATAATATCTGGCCACATTAATTCATGTAAGTCGGTAAACTTATTTTTTTTGTAAGGAGAACCCGCGGCAAYATAGGCCATTGGGTGTGGGGTGGTACGGTAGGGCTTATTTTTTTGTATATTTGTTTGTAGGTTKTTAAGTGGGTAGGGTTGTAACACGTGTTTGTGTATGTGTGGCAAGGATATGTTGCTAAAAATCCCGAGTGGTCACCCATCCAGGAGCTAGCAACTGCAGCAGGTACGTACGCTCAGTGCGTTTCCGCAGATTGAGCGTACGACCGCGCCTCACCAAGCCACAGTCAGTAAACTATGCATCTATTAATGTAAAGGAGTTGAGTGGTTATATAAAATTAATTGGTACAAAATATTTTACTTTCACATAATATCAGTAAATTGACTACTGAGTGAACCATATGAGTTAGTAGGTCTGAAAATTAACAAATCAACAACCCAGCTTTGTWATGAACTTCTGAACCATTTCTCTAATTGTATGGTTTATAATTATTTAATAGCGATTATTATTAATATAATAGTACTTTTATTATAAGCAGAGGTAAGCGAAGTGAGACTAGACCATAACCTAGGTAAGGATTTTGTTTATTTGGCCAACGTTGTATTTTTTTAGCTTACAAAATAAATCAACAATAMAATGTAATAATTAGTAATAACCTTAAACAAAGTAAGGACAAAAACACTTTAATAATTATATTATTAATCTAGTGTCCTGAAATATAGCGTTATTTAATTAATAATCTGAACAATCAAGTAGGTACTCAAATATGTTTTAAGCATTAAGTTGATTACATCCATAGTTTTTATTTTATAAAAAAGCTATAAATAAATAAGAATTTGTATGATTTTATTATACATGCATATACACAATTAGACTACGATATGAAAAAATCTAATTGACTATTATGAATTGACTTTACAAAAAAAAAAAAGGTTTTAAAGGTTTCTGTATTTCAACTATGAATTATTACATCTCATAAATTATTTTTTGGATAACAGACAGAKCACGGATAGTCGTCGTGTTAAAATATCGAGTATAAATAAACTTGTTAAAAGTACAAATTACAGACCACCTATTTTTTTTATTTTTATAAATTTGTTGTTAAAACTTATTTCATTGTTGTTAAACATTAAATAACTTAAAATTTTTCACAACTAAACAATTTATAAATTTATTTAAAGACGATATTTAATTATTCTTTCGACTAATAACTCTTTGATTTTCATATTTTTTATATAAATATGTTAGTCTTGAATAATTAAATTATACTWCTAAAGCCTCAAGTGTATAATTATTAATAATATAATTTGGCAAAACATTTAGATTTTTGTATAAACATTTAATAAAAATAGCTATAAAATATTTAGCATGTACGTTTTAGACTAAATTTAATATTTAAATTGATTT